ACTATCCTTAAACACTGCATGATGCGGTAAGTAAAACCCGTCATCATTGTAGTCTATAATTTCAGACATATGCCCTAGCTATCTATATTCGTCCATAAATGATACATAGTCCGATTTTAACTGTGAATTTTTAGACAATCTCTTCTCTAGTAAATAAAATCTTTTTCTCGCCATAGTACTTGAATCTCCTAACAAATCTAAATTATTCTTGAATGGTACACGCACAATAAATCTACCTAACTGATCTCTTGATATTGTATTCTGAAAGTAATTTTCGCAATATTTCTCTGAATCTGACATGGTAACCTTCCCCAGTAGCACACAATGTTGGTCCGATGTTGCGGATACATTGGACCAATATTGTATGTTGGCCCAATATTGGCATTTTTCAGCCAACATTAGACATTTATTGGTAATACAACTTCTTTCATCATTATCATAATATATTTATCCAAGAATGGGCCAATATGCACAAACAATATTTTTATCGGCAGCATATTAGCCAAGATTGGTTACATATTGGCAATACAAATTTTTCTTATATAAAAGTGATATATTTATCCATCATTGCACCGGTAAGCACAAAAAAATTGTTTTTTTGTGCATTATTGAGCCAATATTGGCAATACAACTTTTTCTAATGTTACTATAATATTGTTGTATCCATTAATGGACCAATATGGACAGATAATGTTTTTATTTGCATTATTAAACCAATATTGGATAAATAATGGCAAAATAAATTTTTATAATATAACAGCGATATACTTTTCCATATTGGCCAAATATTGATTCTGTATTGGTAAAATTTTGTAAATAGGTCCAATATTGGCAATTTGTAGCCAATATTGGTAAAATATTGGAGATTTACCTTTTTCCTACATTATTATCATATAATATGTGAATCCAAGATTGATCCAATATTGGATCCGATCCATGTTTGGCAATATCTTTTATTCATGTTTATATTTAATATTTATCCAATATTGGTGATATATAGGAGATCCACCTTTTCCATATCAATCAGGACTACCGAGAGAGGGCGCCACGCGCTACTGATGGCCTTGCTCTTTCCTGGTGTTTGAGTTTCCTTCAAAACTGTTTCTTTGAGTTGGTGTGCTTCGCTAACAAGCTCGAAACCGGAAACCGGTCTAGTCTGCAGGTGTTAGAGCTTTGGTTAAATACATGTGTTTTTCCAAAAAAATATTGTAAATATTTCTAGGAAATATTGTAAATAGAAATATTTCATATTTATCAATTGTCAATATTGGAGGAATGTTTATATTCAATATCGGATCCCTATAAAAAGTATAGGTACATTGTACCAATCTGAAAAACAAATATTGGGTAAAATTCTAAAAGCAATATTACTTGTTTATTAATTATCAATAATGGGACAATGTTTTTCTCCAATATCGGATTCATATTTACAATATATATTGGACCATTAAAAAAAAATCTGTCGTTTCCATTATTGGGCCAATATGTAAATATAATATTTTACCAGTATTGTTGTGCTACTGGGGTTATTATTACTCACCTCTTCAACTTCCCAAAATTTAACAATAGTGTTTTCAACAGAATTTTGATCTACTATACTCAAACAGCTAACTGATTCTATATTTTCAGCAAAACACAAATTTCCTGCAATGACGTAGCCTAGAGCAGTTTCTTGTAATAAAGGCAAATTTGGGCCAAGAAGACGAATCTCATTTGAACCCATAATTGTCCAAAATATGTTCGAACCTAACAACATATCTATTTCACTCGAAACATTAAATTTGGGATCGGCTAATTGTAAATTGATTGGAATATTAATAAGGATCTCTTTATTAAATGACATTATAGGTAATTTTTCTGTGATCGATGGAAGTACCAAACAGCTTAAATTACTCTTAAAATTGCTTATACAAGATTCAATAGTTACATTTACTTGATAATTGATATTGGTCAACGTTTGACCTACACCCTTTATTGCATGATTTATTTTTGATTGTTTTAAGTTCAATTTTTTACATATTCCTAGGGACAAAAAATTACTCTGAGAGCCACTATCTAGCAATGCTCTTGCCGTCACTTTATGTCTTCCATTGGTTACTTGAATCATCGCTGTAGACAACAAAACTTGCGAATTTCCTGACGCTACAGAAGCTTCCGCTAAATGTGCCAAATAGTTAGTGACAGCATGGCCGCTTCCTGCAACATGTGAGTTCACAGAATAATTGTTTGTCCCTGGAACGAGACTGGAAGTGACGCTGCTGTTTCCAACTTCTGACGATTCTGAGGTCGAGGTTTTTTGGGCGAAATTTGTTCTATCACCGGTTGGCATAGAATTTTTATTATTATATGAATCTGAATGCAATAATAAATTATGTGCTTTATTACACTTTCTACATTTAAATTTTTGGCATTTCCAGGAGGGATGAGAATTCCTCAAGCAATTTAAGCACAATTTCAGCCGCTTCACTTCACTTATACGATCATTCACAGATAATTGTAAAAATGAACTACATTTAAATATACTATGTGACTCCTTACAATAGTAGCACTTAAAACTACTATCCGAATTATTTTCTACAGCTGAATAACTTTGGCTTTCACCTTTATTTTTTCTAAATGCATATTTATTATACCTAAATGTTTCTAGCACTTTATTATGTACTTTTGACACCTCCAATTTTTCTAAAACTTCACATTTCAACTTAAGAAAACTGTTAAGGTCACTCATGGTTGGTAGTTCACTCTGATATTTGTAACTCTCCCAATCACGGCGAGTTGTTGCATCAAATTTATTAGTCATGATATAGATATATATAATTAATCGATCCCAAGCGTCAGTATTTTCCCCCATAGATTTAAGCGCTCTAAGTGCGCGTTCACATTGACACCGCTCGAGCGGTGAGCGTTGCGCGATGCCGCTGTAGCGACGCCCAAAAATAATTTCAACATTATATTTCAAATGAACATGTTAACACCGCGCGACACGCCGCCTCAGTATGAACTTGTTCATTTGAAATATAATGTTAAAATTATTTTTGGGCATCACTTCAGCGGCATCGCGCAACGCTCACCGCTCAAGCGGTGTCAATGTGAACGCTCACTTAAATGTTTTGTGATTGTATCAAACAAGTTGCACAATTCAATATATGATTCCTTCATTAAACTGGGATGATCAAATATTGCTCGTATGTGTTTATAAATTATAAGTTTTTTATTTTCAAACCGATCTGTTAAAAATTGCCATGCAACAATATAGTTAGCTTCAGAAACTTCTATTGATTTTATTATTTCTAGAACCTCTTTACTAAGTGAAGATTTTAGGTAATAAAATTTCTGAATGCCATTTAATGAAAGATCTTTTTCAACTAGAGCTATAAAGGAATCTTTAAACTCTAACCAACTACTATATTGACCATCAAATGTTGGCAACTTAATTGGCGGCAATTTAACAACAGACTTACTTACTACATTAACAATATTAGATATTATTATTTGAGCCATGTCTTGAACTAACCACGGACCCATTACTAGCATCATCTTTTACCTGGTGTTTATTTATGAAGGCAGTGATTTCACCTACTAATTTAAAATAAACCTTCTCAAAATCACCTCTCTCAGCATCATCCGCTGAATAATCTAAATCATCGATTACACTACTAGTTTGCTCTATTTCAAGCTGAATTTCATCAAATTCATCATACATCGGCGTCAACCGATCTAAACGAGACTGTAATTCAGTCACTAAATTATGTTCAACATTATCTTTGTTTATTGTTTTAAAATAATTTTCTAATCTTGTAAGTTTTCCTTTAATAATACCCCGTTTTACTTTTAGGTTTGCTGATTCTGCCATATTTTTGACTCAAATATCGGTATTTACAAGAATTATAAAAATCAAAATGAACTTCCTCAAGATATAACAAAAGAAGTTTGCCTAATGCCTGTAGTGGAACACGACACTTTTCTTCTTTCTCCTTTGTTTCACGATCAATCTAATTGAATCTTGAATTTACCTTCTTTAACCTTCAAGTTCTCCTGTTACCTGTTACCGGAATTCTGGTGTTTATTCTTCTTTCACCTTTCACCTGAAATGTACTCGACTATTCTCAATTAATCAATATTTTCGCTGATTCCATATTCGGGTCGATTGGACCAATGTTTAATTGTCTTTGAAACTTGTGGACTGTTTATTTTTTTTCTTTTTGTTCAGCTCAAATTCACCAAATTCGGGGAGGAAAACGGACAGGATTTTGAAACATTTCATTAATTTATTGACTACTTGACAACTCGTCAACTAAAAGACTAAAACTAACTGGTGCTAAAAGATACAGAGTTTTCAAAAGCAAGTTGAATTAAACACAAATGTCGGGCTTTAACAACCTCTTTGTCTGGTAAAATAGATAGGTCTATTTTTTATTATTTATGAAGATGTGAACTTGTCAAACAATAGCTGTGTGGAATTCTCTTCCACTTTGTCTTTTCATATTCTTACCACAGAGGATATCACCGAGAAGTTATCATTCTTGGACAAATCTAAGAAAGCAGGCCCCGATGGCATTCCACTCTTATTGTTGAAATCTTGTTGCTCCTCCCTTGTAAACTCATTGAGAGTACTTTTCCAAAGATCGATGGATGATGGTTATACTTTCCTTCCTTATGGAAAAAATCTTATCTTCTTCCAATCTTCCTGTTTTCAAGTCGGGTAATAGGTCGGTTGTCAGTAATTACCATGGAATATTTATTCTCTTTGTGTTGCCTAAGTTTTTTGAGTCAATTGATGAAATTTTTTACACATATAAAAACTACATTATTTGAGTACGAAAACATGTTATTTTGTTTCTATTAAATTCTTTTATTTCAGAGTTTCGGGATCGGATGGCGACAGTAAACAGTGAACAGTTTCTTGATAACTCATTGAAAATACGTGAAAAATGAAAAAAAAATAATAATTCAGCAAGTGCAATAATTATTACCCCTAAAAATATTCTAATTCCACTTACCATCAGCTTTAATTTTTGGTGGCTTGAACTTCTTCTTGAACACCTTCTTCAAAAAATCGTAAAACTTCGTATTCTCCGCAGCCATCTTGAACTGCTCAGTAACCGTATTCTGTTCTATTTTCAAATTTTCCAGCTTGATTTCCTGATTGGCTTTTTCGTTTTTCAACGAATCCACAGTGTCTTCCATGTCGTGAACAGCGCTCAGCTTTATGTTGACAATTTGCGACAGTTTGTCTTCTTGTTCCTCACAGCTCTTCAAAATTTGCAATTCCTCATTCAAACCGACGATAAAAATGTCGATGAAATTGCCCCGAATCAAAATCGGAAGTCTTTGCTTGCGGGCTTCGAAAATCCAATTGTTGAATTTGTCGATCATTTCTTGCATTTCGGCTATTATCAGTTTTTGGTGGTACAAGATTCTGTTCATGCGGATAGCTCTTAATGAGGACTCGTAAGGGGTGTCCTGTTCTTCTGGATAACTGCACAACTCTTCGAAGGTGAGTTGGGCTACTTTGAGGACTTCTTCGTTTGAAATGTCGCTATGGAAAAAGCCATCTTTGAATCTTGGATAGGTTTTTTTGGCCAATAGGATTTTTTCTAATTCGTTTCCGCTCGGTTTCTTGAAAAAAAAATCAATATAGAAAATATATTAGTAAAGTGCCCGTGCCAGTTAATCGAAATTATCTCACAAGTTAAAATTATATACTTAATAAGAGCAAACGATAGAAAGCCGAACTAATCTAAGTTATCGGAAACCTTCCCAAGCAAGTGTCTTTTCTTCTTTTTAGAAGGCAGCCCTAATGAGTCTTGAAACTGGGAGATCCTCACTAAAAACTTATTCGACTCCTTAGTTGGAGAGATGCAAAACTCTGGGTCTAAGGGCCGGTATTTCAATGACACCTTAAGGTACAGAATAACGTTAAGTCATCCTTAATACAAGTTTTTCCGTATATTAAAGTTGCCTTAATTGAAAGCCACCTGAATGAACTGATTTTAAGTTCACCTTAACGTTAAGGGGACCTCAGGTAAGTCTTGATTTTAAGGTAACATTGAAATACCGTCCCTTAATCCAATTAATTAGCGTTGAATTGTCTTACCAAATTGCTCATAAGTGAAAAAAAGTTAACACTTACAACTACAAAAGACAATATCTTTTTGGCGGAAAATTCTTCCACTTCGTATTCGGTTTCGGTTTCCGGAAGTTCTACGACAACTTGAAGTTTTTCTTCCGGAAACTCGTCCGGGTCGTATTTCGGAATAGGCGGACCGTTTTTTCTAAATTCTTCGGGAAGTTCTTCATTAATTATGTCGATATTCTTTTGCTTTTCCTTGAGCCTTTCGATTAGTTCGTATTTAGCGTCACGAACGTCGTAGCATAGTTGGATGAAATTGTGACGCAAATTGTAAACCTATACAAAAGTAAAATATAATTAGTTAATTTATCCATTAGTATACATATTATTATTCATATCTGAGAGTAGGTAAAACGCTGTCCTACGGACATAAGGAGTAGGAACGCGCCATTCTGACGGCTTTGTTTTCCAACTCCATGTTACTACTCCTTTTACCTTTACCTGCTCTAAGATTGTTATAGTTACCATTCCTCTTGTTTCGAGTAACTTTTTGTAATGTTTGACTGTAGTCTCTCTATTTTCCATTGTAGTTTTATAATTAGGGCTTTCTTTTAGTTTGTAATCGCCAAAAGTGATTTTGGCTTCTGCGAGAAACTTTTCGTCGTCGGGATGATTTTTGCCCGGGATCGGTTTTTTTGCCAGGAACTCTTCCCACTGGAACCAATCAAAGATTCAGTATTAATAGTGAAAGAAAATAGGTGTAACCATAGGGTGTAACCCTAGAAAACACATCTGTGACATTTACGTAAAGTTTATAATATAAATCTGAGATCATTTTTCTACCAGAATAATTTAAAGGTTTGCATTAGTGTTTAAGTAATGTTTAGCTAGAGTATTTACGTAAATTTAACTTTAATGTAACTGTGTCTGATGAAAACTTCTATACATAAGAGGAAGAAATGGAAATTATTGATGATGATAAATAAAACAAAGATTATCATAAATTAATTGAAGTTGATTTTGGGTCTGTTTATCCAAAATCAAAGTCCAATTACTACAACAATAATTTATTCCACGTTACTATACACTCATTACACTCTGACACCAAGTAATTACTTCACAAATTAACTCAAACAAATAAACTCTTTAAAACTCTCAACAATAATCACTACCTATCTAAATCATATCGCACAGTCAATCTTAAACTTAAAAACTATTAACTAATACCGGCCTTTATAATTTCAGAACTCAGCCGAAAATGAAATGGGACACCTCAAAACATCACTATATAGTCCAAGAGCCCAGAGCCGCCGGACACAACTTATTTTCTAAAGGACAGAATATGTGGGATTGTGTAGCACTTATATGTACTATGAACGTATGTATACCCGCTAAGAAGTTGGGTAGACGGCCAATTTACCAACACCAGGTGCGAAAGCTTAAAAAGTACTTTAACTTTTTTTCTAACGGTTGATTTTGATACATGTTATTGGGGAGACTATTTCATAACTACGTGTGCTCAGCCAGACCAATCGCACCGGCCAAACATCTCACCAGACGCAATAATAATTTTTCCGGGAGTGTGAACGCGAGGGTACTATGCATGCGTTTGAGAGTGAGCGAGATATCTATGTCAACTGATTTCCCCTTCTTAAACTTACAGTCTACTCCAGACTAGAGTAGAAATGGGAAAAACCGTTATTTACAAATAATAACAGTTTCATCTGTTATCATTATTTTCAATTGGCCGTCTACCCAACTTCGCGGGTATACGTATGTTAATAGTACCTATAAGTGCTACTCAATCCCACATATTCTGTTGTTTAGAAAATAAGTTGTGTCTGGCGGCTCTGGGCTCTTGGACTAATATTTGGATAGCTGTAACGTTTTTAATTTCATTCCGATAGTGAATCTCAAACCAGTGTTAGGAAGCCCCAACACTATACTTTTTTCAGTGGTGACGGATCCGCTTTTGACCGAAGCTTTCTTATATACAGAGTGCTGAATTTGTCAGTATGTAAAATTTGAGAAATTCATCGAAGAATCCAGAAATATTGACGCATAGTAAAATGATTCTTTATGTATTAGGGTGGATCACTAGATGGATACCTCTAGACGTTTTTGCAATATTTAATAGTATATTACATACCGAGTAGGGAAGTGTTTCATTACTGTCGAGAGATTTATATAGTCAAGCTTCGAGATTGACTATTAATCTCGAGACAGAAATGAAAACTTTCCTCCGAGGTTTGTATACTATTTTATTTGCAAGTACACGATTAGTCATTTAATTTTTTTTAATATTAAAAAAATAATACCAACATGCCAAAATGTGTCATTCACTGTTATGACGTTTTTACCTGACATGTTCTCATTGTTGCCAGCAAAGGTAACTAAATGAATTAGAGTGAGGGAAGTCGAATAGGGAAATCGGTGAGGGAAATCGAAGAGGGAAGTGACACAGCACAAGTAAAGTGACACTTCCAAATTTTTTAAAAACCAGTAATGTCAAGATTACATATATGGTTGCAAATAAAATCGTTTATTCAATGAGAAGGAGGAGGAGAAAAAAATGGAGGAATAAGCAGAAATAGGACTAAAATGAAACCCTTCACTTCCAGTAGGTAAATACCAGTGACGTACGTATGGAGGCTTACATTTTAAGAAATGTTTGTTTTACATTTATTTTGGTGCTTGATTAGAGAGTAAGGCACGGGGAGAAATAAGTAGCAGTGACGTGCAAGAAATAGTTCAATGTCTTTAATACATACATTAATAAATATAGTAACAATACTGAAAAAAAAACACAACAAAATTGAAAAGAATTGAAAAAAATACGTAGATAAACCAAAACTAATAACTTGTTGGCCCTCCCTCTATTTTGAAGCACCTGGGCATACTAGAAATTGAAGTGTTTATGAATTGAGTTGGAACTTCCTCCCTATCTCAATGATCATGGCCTCAAGCTCAAGCTCGTCCAGATTAGTCCGGTTAGTGCTTTCTTTTTGCGAGTAGGTACCAACTTCATCCAACTCCAGACGTACTCAATAGGATTTATATATGGTGATCCGGAAGGAAGTTCCAGTCGATTCTCATTTTATTCTTGTAGATATTCATTAACAAAATGAGAATCGACTGGAACTTATGGAGCCTCATGGAACACCAGATGAGGCAATTATTTTTGAAGAACTACGACCAAAGCACTCAACGTGCTGAGAACGACTTGCGAGGTACGATTTACATAGGTATATTATTAAGGCGCGAACAGAAACAACTACATACATACAGATACAGAATACAGATTATGTAGATTTTCGACGAGAATGCCATGGTCTTTTAGAGAAATCTGTATAGATAACGTCAACCTGTGAGCTTGAGTTAATTGCATCAGAAATATATTCGGTGATTGTGCTGGGGTTAGAAGTAGTGGATCTGCCTTGCATAACTGATGACCATGCTGACGAGTATCTATGAGACCCCTCATAGGGAGGTAAAGAGTAAAGGGCAGTATGAAGAACACGCTCGAAACATTTTGAGAAGTTGTTAATAATAGTGATCGGACGAAAGTTTTCAATGAGCTGGTCTTGGATTGTTTCCAAGAAAGATTAAATCAGGGATGGGCATCTACGCGTGAACAAAGATTGTCTACGTCTGGTGTAAACAACGCGTAGACAATGTAAACTATGTAATCTATGTATACAACGTGTAAAATATGTATAGACAACGCGTAAAGTATACAATTTTTGACAGTTGGCAGGCCTTTAAGGTTATGTTTCTGTTTTTGCTTTGTTTTGTTTTTTGCTTTGTAATGTTAATTAAACTGCAGATAATGTCTAATTTGATACAATATAAATTTAATGCAATGCAAACTTTTAAAAAAATTACTCAAATTTCAAATTTTCTTTTGTCTACATTGTCTACATAGTTTACATAGTCTACATGGAAAAAAGTGGATGTAAACAATACGTAGACAACGAGTAGACAAACCACGTAAAGTAGATTTCATAGTCTACGGCACATTCCTGGATTAAATAGTATCGTAACGGGTTCAACAAAGACATGGGCACAGTCAGATATAAGAAAAGAAACGCAGGAATCTTATCAGGCCGCACAGTTGCTTTGGGCTTAATGCCCTTCAAAGCCATTAGAACTTGCTCTTCTGATAAGGGGGTTTCATTCGGGCTTAATGGCCGTCATAAGTTGGAATTTCTTCCTGACGTTTCGCTAGCAAGCGTGGCTAGCATCTTCAGAGGTGGTTCCATGTCCGATTCTGGTAGCAGACTGACGCGTTCCCGACCGTAAGTTGTATTTATATGTGAGTAGCTGTGGTGGGGGAGGACGGGGCTTTGCGGCATATGGCTAATCTCACTTTCTCTGAACTCAATGGAATCTCTGTACTCAATGGAATCTCTCTTGCGTTTTTGAGGATCGGGTTCCAGATTTGTTTAAGTTTTAGTGTTTCTTCTTTCCTGTTGAAGTTCTCCGTATGTTTGTGTAGTATTTTATGATTCCCTATTCACTAAGCGCATGTTCCGCAACTGCTGATTTTTCCGATTGTCCTAGTCTGCAGTTCCTTTTGTGCTCGTTCATCCTGGTTCCCATGGATCTTTTTGTCGTTCCTATATATACATGTTGTGTTTCTTCAAGACTTTCCCTATCCTGTCTATCACCCGAGAAATGAACGGCAGATATGCATTACCCAGTTTTGGGTCAATTTCAGATGCATTTGTAACCATTTGATAGAAAGGCCGATAGAGGCTTAGTTTTCCTCCAGATTTCTTTATGAGCACATCTAAGTAAGAGATTTCCTGTTTTTTCTCCTTTTCCATGGTAAATTCTATGCTAGGATGTTGCTCGTTCAGGTGGCCTAGGAATTGGTTGAGCTTCTCTTCCCCATTACTCTAAACCACAAAAGTATCATTTACATATCGAAGCCATACCGTTGGTTTGTGGTCAAAAGATTCTATAGCTTTCCTCTCGAATTCCTCCATAAAGAAGTTGGCTATGACCGGGCTGAGCGGACTTTCCATAGTAACACCGTCCGTTTGCTCGTAGAAATCGCCATTCTACAGGAAGTAACTACCAGTGAGACATGTCCGGAAAAGCTCAACTATATTATTGGGAAAGGTACTTGATATCAAGTCAAGAGATTCTGTCAATGGCACTTTTGTGAAAAGGGACACGACATCAAAACTGACCAGGATGTCGTTAGGTTGAAGAATAATATCCCTAATTTTCCGGACAAAGTGAGTGGAGTCCTTGACGTAAGAGCTAGTTTTTCCTCCATGCGGTTGAAGAAGCGATGTAAGATGTTTCGCTAGGTTGTACGTTGGTGCTCCAGGTGCACTTACTATATGGGTCTTAGCGGGACTTCCGGTTTGTGAATTTTGGGTAGGCCGTAGAGTCGTGGTGGAACTGCTTCTGTTCTTATGATGCCTTTCTTGACCGTGTCTGTTAGGTTAGATGACCTAATCAGTTTGTTGGTATTCCGGAGTGTGGCTTGTGTGGGATCCTTCTTAAGCTTTCGCTATAGGTAGATGGATCAAGGAGTTCCTGAATTTTCCGGTTGTAGTCTTCAGTTCTTAACAGGACAGTTGCGTTGCTCTTATCCGCAGGTAGGATGATCATATCTTCCGCTGAATTCAGGTTCCTAATTGCCATTAGTTCATTCTTAGAGAGGTTATTGGTTGGTGGTCGAGCCTTTCGTAGAATGTTGGCCGTCTTGATACGGATCTCTTTCGCTTCTACATCAGCGTAGTGCTCTGATGGCTGCTTCAGTGCTGGCTATAATCTCCTCCGTTGGCAGGTGTTGTGGAGTGATTGCGAAATCACCGCCTTTACTCAAGACAGCTGTTTCCTCTTCGGTGAAGACACTCGATCCGTGAGATTGATGATCAGTCTGGATTTGTCAGGTGCTGGGGAATTTCGGATTTGTTTCTTACAGAACTTCTCGTATTTTCGAATTTGAGCTTTTTTACTTCGATTTAGCTCATTATCCATTCTTGAGTATGAGATGGTATCAATTTTGTTCCAATCCTTTGCCTGTATTTTGTTGCTTGACCGAACTCCGCTTCGCGTCGTTCGGTCAACTGCCGTTGCGTGCGGTAAAGTATCACTTTCCGCATTTGTTAGGTAAATAACTATTTCCAGGCACCATGTTTTTGCTTTATTTTATTAATTTTATTATTTGCGGAGAGATCCACAGTGGATAGTTTCTACGCCTTTTGGAGGTTTAAGGAACATGATCATCAAGACAGCGATATATTTTCAGGTAAAATAATTTAAGAGCAGTAATAATAATATTTCCAACTGATTTGAGAATATCCCAATTGGTGTCCAAGAAGCTAAAGCCCTGAGATTAGCTCGTTTAAAATTGTAAAAGACATTTTCAACTTTGGAGCTTTTGTCAGCAGACATTTTGAATTTTATCAGAAGAGATGGATGATAGATGTCTTCAGTGAGCAAAAAAAAATCATGGCACCTTTGTACTGTGCAAAAATCCATCCTCGAAGTTATGTACCAAGTCCAACAGTCCCCCTTGAAGATTTTTTTTATCATTTTTAACTGTTTCCTGCCAAAAAACTCCAAAAAGTTAATGATCTGAACGACATTGTTAGTAAGTACTCGACCTTTCGAGTGATACAAGTAGGTACGTCAGTGAGCTTATATGTATACTCAAAGATAAATTCATATACATATATCAAGCGCAAGATTAGGTGGAATATAAATAAGGATAACAAAGATACTAGATGAATCAGATACAATTTTCACCCCTACATTCTCCACCATATTGCGAAGCGATAGTGGAAGAACTAAATCTTAAGTCTGAGACGATAAAATTCTGCTTAACGAGCTTGAACAATTCTAGGCTTGCTCTAGAACGGTTCTCTCAGTTCTTGCTCTGAAGGGGGCACTGTTTTAGAATTTTGTAATTTGCGGCGTGTTTTGGTTTTTTTGGTGCCAGAACTAGTATTAGAATTAGAACAGTCCTCTATTATTTTTTGTGCGCAAGCAGTTCTGCACAATCCCAGAACCGTTCCAAATTTCGAACCAAAACAAAGCTGTCATCTTGTTAGAGTAAGAAACTTATCTATGGTAAGTATAATGACGTATTTTTTCTATTGAGAAAGGACCCCGCAATATTTAAATGGAAATTGGTTACCCGTGATATTTGGATGAAATTTATAGTATATTACAATCCGAGACGGAAAATACTTCATTGCTGGTCGAGAGGTTATTATAGTTTATCGAGACGCGAAGCGTCGAGATAAACTCAACCTCGAGACAGAAATGAAGTTTATTTTCAACCACATATGTAATGTTGACATTGCAGGTTTTTCAAAATCTTGAAAGTGTCACATTTCTGGACTTTGACATTTATCGGGACGGTAATGCATATGCCTGCCTAGGACGGAAAAGCATTTTCCGTCCGGGACGGCAAATGCTTTTCCGTCCCCATTTCCCTGCTCGTTCCAAATTGATAATTTTCATACAGCTCTCACATATAATAATAAAACCACATGTATTACATGGAACTAATTAAATCTATTCACTTATTTACATTAATTGTTAAATTAGCATTGTTGTTTATAATGGAAATCTTGAGACCATCCTGTTGGAATTGTGTTTCGTTTGGAACTATTATCTCTTGCGCTTGCGGATGAGTTTCCGCATGTGATGTACTTGTGGATGCACTGGACAACTGAATACCTTTGGAAGTAGAGGATAGCTTCAGAGCAGTCTTACTTTTGTTCTCCAAAGATGCCTCTATGTAGCCTTCAGCAACCGTGCTCGATTTCCACCCTCCCAGTCTTTTGAGTTGCAATAGATCGGCCCCGTTGTCAACCAATAAGGTTGCGGAAGTACGACGAAAAGCATGCCCTGTAAAAGTTTCAATTTTTGGAAGCTTCAAAAAAGCAGCTATTTTATGTGGAAATTTTGAGATTGAATGATAGCCAATTGCTTGGTTATGTAATTTCCCATTTCGCCATTGAACAAATAACCTGTCATTTTTCAAATTTTTCCGCAAAGTGAGGTATTTGTGGAAAATAGCAACCCAATCTGGATCGCTTATGATAAACGATCGACTTGTGTAAGTTTTTGTGTGTGGAATTTCTATAGCGATCTTTCCTTCCAAAACGTTGACGTGCTCCATTTTCATCTTGACTAGTTCATCGCTCCTACATGCACCCGACACACCAACAATTAGCGCTACCTGAAACCAGATAAAAATAAAATGGGTAACCTAGCTATAGCATACAGAAAATCATTTTGATTTTCGCATTTTTATCTTCTTTGTATATTTTTTGAAAACCTACCTTGATGCTAATGAATTCTTCAGCTGCCTTCGTGAGGAACTCGTTAATGTTTTCTCTGGAAAAAACGCTCGACTTTTTCGGCTGAAAGCCCAGATTTTGCCGCTTCAAAAAAGCTATAAGTTTTGCGTAATTGGAGATATCAACTTTCTCTTTCAATTTAATCATGGTTTTCAACATACTGTAAGTCGACCATAAAGTCGAAGGCTTCTTTTCCTTAGATAATTCGCCAAAATACGCCAACAAAACGGTCTCCGAGGCAGTATTTCTCGTTCCTTTCTGGCTACACCATGCTTCGAATATTTGAAAAGCCTTTTCGTACCGAAATTTGCTTTTTGCTGGAAGCAAACTCTCTCCAATCCTGTCTGCTGCTTCTTTTAATTCAGGTGGGGTACAATCCATCGCTTCATCTTCACTTTCCGAAATCATTTCTTTGGGGAGAACGGGGAGAAATCTAGTGAAAATCTATTATTTCCGCAAAAATACTGAGCGAAAACTACCGTCGTTAAGGCGTTGTTGATCTTATCTATGGTTGTTGATTTTGCGGTTTCCTGTGGTTTCGTCTTTTGTTTTGGCCTTTACAGGGCCTTTGGAGATCGTCAAAATTGATGACATTGACAAAAAAAGTGAAATATTTTTTTCTAAGGCCAGTTTTACACTATATGAAAATTTCGTATAACAGAATCTTTAGTTTTTGCATCAGAAAATTAAGGGTTGAAAATAAAAAAGTATACAAACCTCGACGGAAAACTTCATTTCTGTCTCGAGGTTGAGTTTATCTCGACGCTTCGCGTCTCGATAAACTATAATAACCTCTCGACCAGCAATGAAGTATTTTCCGTCTCGGATTGTAATATACTATTTCCGTCGAGGTTTGTATACTTTTTTATTTTCAACCCTTAATTTTCTGATGCAAAAACTAAAGATTCTGTTATACGAAATTTTCATATAGTGTAAAACTGGCCTTAGAAAAAAATATTTCACTTTTTTTGTCAATGTCATCAATTTTGACGATCTCAAAGGCCCTGTAAAGGCCAAAACAAAAGACGAAACCACAGGAAACCGCAAAATCAACAACCATAGATAAGATCAACAACGCCTTAACGACGGTAGTTTTCGCTCAGTATTTTTGCGGAAATAATAGATTTTCACTAGATTTCTCCCCGTTCTCCCCAAAGAAATGATTTCGGAAAGTGAAGATGAAGCGATGGATTGTACCCCACCTGAATTAAAAGAAGCAGCAGACAGGATTGGAGAGAGTTTGCTTCCAGCAAAAAGCAAATTTCGGTACGAAAAGGCTTTTCAAATATTCGAAGCATGGTGTAGCCAGAAAGGAACGAGAAATACTGCCTCGGAGACCGTTTTTTTGGCGTTTTTTGGCGAATTATCTAAGGAAAAGAAGCCTTCGACTTTATGGTCGACTTACAGTATGTTGAAAACCATGATTAAATTGAAAGAGAAAGTTGATATCTCCAATTACGCAAAACTTATAGCTTTTTTGAAGCGGCAAAATCTGGGCTTTCAGCCGAAAAAGTCGAGCGTTTTTTCCAGAGAAAACATTAACGAGTTCCTCACGAAGGCAGCTGAAGAATTCATTAGCATCAAGGTAGGTTTTCAAAAAATATACAAAGAAGATAAAAATGCGAAAATCAAAATGATTTTCTGTATGCTATAGCTAGGTTACCCATTTTATTTTTATCTGGTTTCAGGTAGCGCTAATTGTTGGTGTGTCGGGTGCATGTAGGAGCGATGAACTAGTCAAGATGAAAATGGAGCACGTCAACGTTTTGGAAGGAAAGATCGCTATAGAAATTCCACACACAAAAACTTACACAAGTCGATCGTTTATCATAAGCGATCCAGATTGGGTTGCTATTTTCCACAAATACCTCACTTTGCGGAAAAATTTGAAAAATGACAGGTTATTTGTTCAATGGCGAAATGGGAAATTACATAACCAAGCAATTGGCTATCATTCAATCTCAAAATTTCCACATAAAATAGCTGCTTTTTTGAAGCTTCCAAAAATTGAAACTTTTACAGGGCATGCTTTTCGTCGTACTTCCGCAACCTTATTGGTTGACAACGGGGCCGATCTATTGCAACTCAAAAGACTGGGAGGGTGGAAATCGAGCACGGTTGCTGAAGGCTACATAGAGGCATCTTTGGAGAACAAAAGTAAGACTGCTCTGATGCTATCCTCTACTTCCAAAGGTATTCAGTTGTCCAGTGCATCCACAAGTACATCACATGCGGAAACTCATCCGCAAGCGCAAGAGATAATAGTTCCAAACGAAACACAATTCCAACAGGATGGTCTCAAGATTTCCATTATAAACAACAATGCTAATTTAACAATTAATGTAAATAAGTGAATAGATTTAATTAGTTCCATGTAATACATGTGGTTTTATTATTATATGTGAGAGCTGTATGAAAATTATCAATTTGGAACGAGCAGGGAAATGGGGACGGAAAAGCATTTGCCGTCCCGGACGGAAAATGCTTTTCCGTCCTAGGCAGGCATATGCATTACCGTCCCGATAAATGTCAAAGTCCAGAAATGTGACACTTTCAAGATTTTGAAAAACCTGCAATGTCAACATTACATATGTGGTTGAAAATAAAATATGTTACTGGGGATGCCGTAAGCAACATTTTTTACCATGGGCACAACCCCGTATGTGTGACAGGTGAGGCGTGGTTAGCTGTCAAATATTGGAATCTTGAATCCAAAAGCAGAGTAACTATCGCAGATTTTGATGAACGATAAATCTATTTCTACTAAGTCGACCAAGTTAAGTCGAAAAATGTCAACTGTTTTAACACCTGTCAAAACCCTGCCAAACGGCAGCACTCATCTTTTCCAGTTTTCAATATTTTATGTTGTTATTTGACATTTTTAACTTATATGTAAATTCTAAATTCAAAAATTGAACAAAAAAATGACAGCTGTCAAAATGTGACGTGCATGAATTTTGTTCAATGTTTTATCACCAATAAACTACCTTAAAACGAGAAAGGACCAGATTAGAGTATTTTTTTCTACTAAAACAAATGACAGATTTTGACAGTTCTGTCGTTTTTTTTTTCAATTTTTGAATTTACAATTTACATATAAGTTAAAAATGTCAAATGACAACATAAAATATTGAAAACTGGAAAAGATGAGTGCTGGCATTTGGCAGGGTTTTGACAGGTGTTAAAATGGTTGACATTTTTCGACTTAACTTGGTCGACTTAGTAAAAATAGATTTTTTGTTCATCAAAATCTGCCATAGTTACTCTGCTTTTGGATTCAAAATTCCAATATTTGACAGCTAACCAGGGTTGTTCTTGGGGAATTTTCGTGTGTGCCTGCAGCAACACTCAAATAGTGCCAAATAGTGCCACTTTATAAAAAGTGATGGGAGAGGATTTTTTGACTTTTTACCCATTTCTTTTTATTACATGATTAAAAAGAGAAATATATAA